ATTTCTTCCTTGACTTCCAACTTTAGAAATAGATAATATAATTTTTCATAATTTATAATAGAATATATAAAATGCATTTATTTAATTCAAAATGAAATGATTTTTATTATTTAGTTAGAGTATATATATAAAGAATTTTCATTGAAATAATTTCTTTTATGTGAAAAACTTTTGAAAAAAAATATTGAAGCTCACGAATAGGTCTCTTATTCAAATATATATATAATTAGTTCATACATAAAACGAAACAAGTTTGTAAGAAATACGAGTTACTGAATGATTATAGAAAATTTACATAAAGATACATCATTGCTTTCGTAAAATGTCAAATGCTATATACTTGATTTGCAAGCTTGATAACAAGACAAAGCGTGTTATGCATAAAATATATCTAAGGAGAAATGCAAAATGAGAGGTTCGTAAAACGAAAAGATTTGACGGTTTCCCCTTCTACCAGACGAGAATCCCCACTACGCGTCGCTTTCGCCAGACGTAAAAATTTCTACAAACGAAATTATTAACCATGCGTACCGTATAAGAAGAAATAATATTTGAGAAAATATAATGTAGGAAATAACTATGAGAAAAAATACAAAGATAATTTCAATAAGTATTATTGTCGATCCGATAGATCGGTCGGTTGATCGACCAAATAATTTCTCTCTGCTTTCAAGGCCAAATGCCACGAGCAGAGCACGCGTTACTACGTGTCTAAGGAGTAACCCGGCAGCGATTGGTAAGTATCGTGTCGTGTCTATGCGTCATACATGTCGGTGAAGGACCGACTGTCTGGTTATCTGCCGAGAGACCCCGTAAAGTACTGAACACAGCACGCCTAGCAACGCTATCTCGGCGTTAACTAGTTTGTTTCGATGAAACAATATAACTCGAAAACGACGAAACCTTTTCATAGCTTTTCAATCAATCCTTTATGAAAACTTTCAAGAGTTCATATACCTTGACAGACTCTAGTACAGAAGTGACAAAATCTAAGAACAAATCTACCCTTTAATAAAGAAACACCGGTTATGAACCGGCTACTTGACCACTATCGTGTATGGATTAGTCATATTTGACGTTTCATAAACTTTTGACAGATCCAATGAGACACGATCCCAGTTTGAGGTTCTCGATTCTCGAAGGAATTCGTTATATATCCCACGATATCGTATAGCAGGCACGTCACGAGAGCGGTGTTACCTCCTTTCTCTTTGTAGCAATGCTTTGTGTCGATTTCATGGATTTCATTTTAGCGCAGGCCGGGTCCTTTTCCCGGAAAATATGTACTCACCGTCATAGCGCTCCGCTTGCTCAGCCAATTTCGCTTTATAAACGTTGTCCTCCCGTTCCGACATCTTGGATGCTCGTGGATTTCACGGGTAGACGAAAGATTTCAGGGAAATCGCACCAAATACTCGTTTCACCGAAATACGTACACCTCGTCGTACAGCCACTCGCAAGCTCACTGACCAAGATGGCGGCGCCCGCCAACAATCGAAAGCAGTTCCCACTTCGCGCAGCCTCTGCAGACGCTCCACTCGCCATGCGCTCTTAGCGTGTATTACTACGCCTGACGTCATTCTTTACCAACGTCGCGCGCATGTCGGTTAAATTCACCGAATATCCGGTAAAACTGTAGAAACGAAAATATCAACGTATCTTTTCACGTTGTTTTCTTCTTAATTAACGATAAACAAGGAATTTATAACATATATTTCATTCACATGTTATAAAACCAATGATGCTATGTTTTATTGAAATGTGGAACTAGCTGCAAGAAATACGGAATGAAAGAGAAAACTTTTTGACAAGCAATTCGTTATTCTCGAGCAAACATTTTACCGTTTTTTGTTTTAAATAACTTTAATAGCAAGCAATTTCATGCTGAATGAAAATCGATTTTGTTTTCTAATAAAAACATAATAAAAGCCATATGAAAAATAATAATTTTGCGCGCATAATATAAAAAGCAAACTAAAACAAGACAGAATAACATTCCAGTGTATTCCATTGTGCGCGCGAGATATCAAATCATGATTATCAGTAATGATAGGTAAATGGACTGATCATTGGATAATAATGAAATATTCAATGATAAATATTACCCGTTCAAGATTGTTTTTAATTTGTTACAATAAATCAATACAATTTCTTTAATGGAACAAAATACTACGGTTATTTATCGTATAAATAATTGCACCATTTGTGCGACCAACGGGTGTTACATAGGAAATGCCAAACGGCAATTATGTGAATGCTACGAAGATATCTTCGATTTTGTAGCGAAGCATATTGTATTTATCGTTCCACACGAATAGCTAATGTACAAGCACTACTTAATTCAAACATCTGTTCTATCCGTCTTATTGTATTTTCTTTAAATTATTTATTTTATAGTTAATTTGTATTTATATATATGTATACAGATATATCCGATTATAATCAACTATTAAAATTATAATACAGCCAAATACTTAATTATAACAATCATTGTAAACATTGGTTGCAAGCTAGATGTTCCGTTTAATATCGCCCTATACAGACTGAAATATGTAGTTGTCAATATACAAATACTATGAACGGAACAACTGTATGATGTGCTCATAAGAGGGATATACAATGGGTTTTATTAATTATCATATGTACATACGGGCATGCATGCATCATACATACATACATACATACACACACACATACATACAAGCACGCATACATACAACATACATACATACGTACGTACGTACGTACGCAACATTCGCGCGGTTTGTACCTGTGTATGAATGTGTGCGTGTCTACATAATGTAATTGGAGAAAAGGATTTCGGCTTTAACGAATGTTAATGTTCTTGTGTTGAAGCATTATTTAAAAAAATTATAAAAGAAAAAAATTTACTACAATTTATAAGCCCTTCAACATGATTTTAAATTCTCCTTACGCTTTTCCCGTAATAATATTGATTATGTTTTGTAACATTAGCTCGACGGAGTGTATAGTAATTAGGCTGGTTAGATAACCAGTCAATATTTTGTGGAACATTCAAGAGTCTCTCTACGTCTGCACGGAAAATTGCAGAAATTTGGAAGCATATCCATTTATATTATCTGCTTCTTCTTTCTTATTTTGTCGCATGTTACTAGTAAAACTACCATTTTTGCATGAATCATTGAGATCAAATCTCAACATACTGAATTCTCTCGTTGTTATGAACATTTTATCTGCAGGAACATTTTCTTTCATAGCGGTTGCAGATTGTCATATTAACATAAACGAATGCCGCTTCTTATCCCATTTTTTGTGCAAAGGTTAAGACGTGGCAGTCGATGAACAGTCTGGCCGCACCATACGTGTAAATAACCAATATGTAAAAATGTATTACCTATCAATATCTACTTTAAATAATTCAATAAGGCTTTAGTCACATACAACGCGAATAGTTTTTATAATTTACTCAGCAATACTACTAAAAGTTTTTTTCAATTATTTTTTTTAGATATTTTTAGCATCGCGTCAAGCATCAAAAATACATTTTATAATCTATGTAAGTACTTTTCGCGATGTATATATAATAATTGAATATCAGAAAGTTATGGCAATTTTTCGAAGTTGCTGTTATCGGTCTTTTGGAACTTATAAATTCAGTTCCATTTCTAAAAATAAAAATATTTAAATATATCTAAATTTGTTTGAAACAAATTACGAATACTGTAGTTGTATTAAGTAAGTTTTCATATTTAACTTAAATTCCCATTATGGTTTTAATTTGTAATGTATTAATGTTCTTTGTTAAAAATTATTTATCTTATTATATATGCTATTCCAGTTATGAACTGAATTCACAAAATTTTAATAAATTTGCTTATTAATCGTATTTAAATTTTTAGTGAAAATATTACGGCACATTTATCTTAATAAAAACAAATAAAAAATACAGAAAATTTTTGAATCTGTACAAATATTGTATGCAAAGCATTAATTGGGCCATGTGGATTATACGCAAATGTTTTTGGTTGTTTAGAAAAGTGAATAAAAGAGAGGGATGCAGCGGTAATAAAAACAGATAAAGGATATGTAGGAGAATGGAGATAATGACATACTATAAAAACGCTAGTTTTAAATTAGAATGCCATCTTCTACCACTTCGACCAGTTCTTTGGAAGAAATAATGATTAAATCATGTCTCCTAACAATCCCACTATATCATGTCATATCGTGTCAGCATTTTTTTAGAAGCAGTGATTTCTAAAATCAACTATCTTCACTTAAAATAAATCCAAACACTTCTGCATTGTATATTGACGGTCACAATATTGATATAATTATATATTAAGCTAAAATATGTTTGGACATCGTGACCAATCACCTTTACTCTTACATTCCCAATATTCACTATTGTATACATAGCACAGACTGTCCGTGTATGGATCCTGCTCTTTCTTAAACCATAAAGGTTCATAAGTTTCATATGGTAAACCTAATATAAATTAAATTTTTAATTATAATATATTCAAAATTATTAAACTATTAAACAATTATTTCTTTAATTATTTTGAAATATATTTAATTATACCTTGAGCGGCTGCTTTTTCAGCTTCGTGTTCCCGTGCACGTCGAGAAGCTCTTTGTTTTTCTTCTAATCGAAGTTTTTCTGCATTCGCTTTGTCCCATTCACCATTTTCCATTAATCGTTGATCAGGCCTAAATCGGGAATCTGTAGGAGCTATGCCTTCTTCAAGTTCATTAAGTTGACATGCTAATTCGGTAAAATTGTAATACTTTTCACTATCTTCACTATAAAAGTAAAAATATTATAATATGTAAAAATTCATGTTTTCCTTTTAATGTAATGCATAATTAAATTATATATTCAAAATTATTAAACTATTAACTATTAATAATTATTTCTTTAATTATTTTATATTTACCAAGGCATACGACGTTTCCAGGCGAGTATATAAGGCCCTGTTTTGTATATTGGATTATCTAGTGTGCCAGATGTACTAATCACGGGAGCGATTTCTATTTTCGAATCCCATGTACCTTGTACTACCCATTTGACTTCATTGTCTGAATTCATGACTATTCCTTTTACTTTACGCTGACTATCTCTCGAAAAGTATGAATAGGGCGTGTACTTCAAATGGCACTTGATACCTTGTTTATGATTCACAATATCTGTATCACCACTTTGATCAACCCATAATTTTCCTACTATAATATTGTGTACAGTGGTAGTAACTTTTCGCCATGTGTAATGGTGTGTACCATCAATTTCAAGATGAGCAGTTCCTAATGGTATTACCTATAATAATTTTTAGAAAATTAATTATTGTAGATTTAGTAAAATATTATAAGATATTTAAAAGTAAATTATAAAATCTACCTGGAGATATTTTCCACGAAATTTAGATGCCATAGTAAATTCTTGCCAACAACGCCAGTTTCGGCCCTCGCAATGTTGCGCTAACATTGGAGGATGATGAGATACTTGTTCTGAAATCGCACGCCATCCTAAGTCTTCAACGCGATCACATTCATACGTTTCACCTAATAAAGGATTAAAAGGTTTGCCAGTTCTGGAAGCAGTTGTAGAATAACTAGATATAGTAAATGCAGCAACATAAGCCATTTGTTCACAGATATCTTTACATTCTGCTGCCCTGTTAAAAAATACAATATTTATTTCGTTTATATTATTTATATAATATTGTTTATATTATTTATATAATAATAATTTAATAAAAATTGAAAATATACCTGTCAAGAATATCTGCATATTCATAATCTTCTGTAAGCCGTTGAAGCATACTAAGTGGTTCAGAAAAATTGACAGGCATTGGAATTTTTGACAAATCTTTACCAATACAATTTTTCATAATACTCCATAAATTTAATGGATAATTTGGTTTTTCAGGTACCCTAGTTCTCCGTTTTCGCCTATAACCTGTTACCCCGGTGCTGCCAGTGCAGCCATTATTGGATTCCCAATTTGTCTGACATGAAATATATCAAGATATAAGATAAAAATTAATTACAGTTACATATAAGATAAAAATTAATTTAAAATTTGAAAAATGGAAAATAAGAATCACTTACATTATCCAGATTGTCAGTATTAGGAGCAGTGACTGGAGTTACCACTGTAGAATCGGTCACAATGCGAAAAGAATTTGTAGTAGCAGTCTCTGACAAAGGTAAAGGTGTCTGATCTCCTTCTGAACTAGAGCCATCGTCACTACCTTGCGAATCAGTTCGATCTCTTGAATTATTTGTTGGAACACCAGGTATACTTAAGGTAAAAGTATCAGATTCTTGTGCATCATAAAATTCTGCATTATCTTCTTCGTCTTCTGATGGAGAAGTTGTAACTGTTGTATCTACAACAATAATCAAAATTTTGCTCAGAATTTCACTATACTGATAATTAAATAAGTAACTGAACATATATATACAAAGCTAAATGAGATTTAGTAAATCAATAAAACAGTTATTCAATTATAATTTTACAGCAAATTTTATAATTATGAATAGAGAAAAATTTTCATTCATCACTTATAAATTTCTTATTAAGATTAAAGATAAAACGCGAAT